TATAATGGCCCAGCAAACATTCATTTACCATACATGCTTTCCATTGCCATGTGGCCTGCCTTCTTGCCTTTTGGAGCCGCAAACCGCAGCGCTGCGCCCTTTCCCGCAGCTCAGGATGGCGTGTGGGCCTTCGCTTCCCGGTCTGTCCTCAGGTCTCATCCCTATGGAACCCCCATACATGCATACGTCTTAAATCTGGTCATTTTCTCCTCTTAACCTGCCTTATGTTGTTTTAATAATTAGTCAAGCCAAAAGAACCTTCTAAGAAAAGGAGGAAAATGTTTTTTTCCTTCCCTTCAACATAATATCCATCACTGCTCCTGCCTAGAAGAAGAGATTGTTAAGATATTATCTCCATTTTACTCAAACGGTGGCTCAGAGAGGGGAAGTGACTTGTCCAACGCCACATGATGAAAAAGACGGTAGAACATGAGTCTGGCAAGGCCTGACTCCAAAGCCTAACTTCTCACGGCAGGTAGAGGACAGCGGACGTTCTGTGTATCAGAGATCAGTACTACCTCCAGCACAAAGAGCCAAGGACGGCTGTCCCCTTCACAGTCCCTGATATGGGACTAGGACTCTTATTATTACAGATTTCTTTAATGACTTAAAGGCATGAAAACCAAGTTCATAAACTGAAACAAAGCAGTGTGCATACCAGCAGATGCCGTCTTTTAGAAGCCAGACTGAGCAGGTTAATTAGAGAGTCTGCGACGCACTGGAAGGGCCAGAGAGCACTGAGGTGCACTTGAGTTAAGTCACTGCAAAACGCAGCCGAAGCCGATGAGCTGGGGCTTCTGAGTCGAAGCCAGTAGAGAGATGGTGTTTTGTATTCGCTGCAATGCAGTGACCGGTCATGGTCGCACTCCTCTGTGCTAAGAGGAAACACACCAAAAGAATGATAGCTACTAAAGTAAAAAAAAAAAAAAAAAAAAAAAAAAAAAGAGGGAACAGAACTCACGTTTTTTTAGTGCCCTCTACAGGCCGACTCTGGTGAAAGCTTTAAGAGCCTTATTTTAAGTCTGAAGAAACTGAAGCCCGCTGCCATCTGTGAATTTGCCCAAGCTCACACGCTAGTCAGAGGCAGGGAGGGTTACGCCGACACCTTGGAGCTACGATCTGGTGCAACCCCACCTCAACCAAGTGGCTGCTATGAACTGGGGCGAAGGTGGCCGCGCCCAAGTCGGGGTGTCAGCGGAACAGGTTAGTGGGTCCTGAAAGGCCATCAAGAAATGTCCACATTCTATCAGTCAAGGTCTCAATCAGGAAAACAGAGGTTAGTTTAGCAGGCAGGACTTAATCTAAGGCATTGTGACACAGGCGTGAGAACACCGGGTGACAAAAGCTCCTTCCCTGCCTTGGCCCGGGCCTCTGCTCCACAGCCACCTCCCCAGAGAAGCCGTCCTTGAACATTCCGTCTGAGATGCCGCCCAGAGCCCCATGCATGCCTGGCTCTGTCTTTTTACCTAGCTTCTTCGTTCCACTTTTCATTCCCTAAAATCCCGTGTTTATTGGTTTAGTTTGTCCCCCACCCTGGGAGGGAGGGACTCAGGGTCGCTCGCTGTACCCATCACAGCCACCCAAGCACACGCTCAGTGAATGGATGTTGGAACGGAACGGAAGGGTGGGACCCAAAGAGGAAGCAGGTATCGTGTTCTTCTCGGGAAGGTCGAAGACACGGAACAGCGAGGGCTTCACCGGAGCAAAAAGAAATGCGAAGTATTATTTCTCCCTTATTTCTGCCTAGTATGTTAAGATTAATCTGACTAATGAACCAGTTCCTTAAACCCATAATGTTATGACTTGGTTTTCTCAGGAGAATCAATATGGTGTTTAGCCTCCAGGATCTATTTAAGCCAGAACTGGCTCCCACGTGACAGTGAGTGTTGCCTCATTTTTAAACAAAGAGCCAATTTATGTGGTTTACACATGCTTCGTGATTGAGACACACCGGGTTTTCACTCCCAGACAAGAAGGCTTTCAGGATTGTGGGCTGCACATTTGAAGAACAGAGTCTAACGCCTGTCTCCCTGCCAACCCGTGGGCGGATGGCAGGTCAATCCTGCTGTGGGGACCGGGCCCTAACACCGGAACGAGGCCCTAATGGCTTTCCTGTCTTAAGTGTCTGTCGGGAGACAGCAGCGGGCCTCCTCCCTGTGCTCCAGAGGCCACCGGGCTGAGCCGCTCAGCCTGCTCTCAGGCGCTCGAGCGGGCACACCAAGCAGCTAAGGAACCCTAAGGTGACCCCCAAAGCCCAGCGGAACAAGAGTTTAGGGGACTCAAGCCACAGAGATGCTCCTTTCACCCGCCGGATCCCAGAGCCCATCAGGAAGCTTGGCGTCCATCAGTAAGGAAGACCCAGTACTGGGACGGGATGTGGACTCACTAAGTCAAACTCTGCCAAATTCTTTGTTCATTCTCCGCCGGCCCTTCCACGTTCCAAACCTTAGTTGGCTTAGTTCCAAGACTGCCTGGTCAGACCCCCAGCATTAGCATGAAGAACTATGTGTGGCTTCTGCTCGCCCTCGCCTGTTAAAACTGACCCCAAGCCTTTGTTTGGGGAGACTAATTTGTCCCTGGTCTCTTCGTTGGTCTGGCCTGATAAATAACCTCCTCTTTCTCTTCATCTCCTCACCAGAGATCTCTAGGTAGGTAGGTAAATAGGTAGGTAGGCAGACTGACAGACGAAGAGAGATGGCCTCCTGGTTCTGTTTTTCTATTGAACCCTAATACAAGTCGCTAGCCCCCAGGGTTCCTGCGAAGACTGGAGAAGACATTTGTGGAGGTGACTGTGCCCAGCACGCAGTGGGCACTCCATGACAGGTACTGCCCCCGCCCCACCTTCTATAAGGCTCTGCTGAGCTACTGAGAAAAAACACATTGAACCAAAAATGCCTGAGTGGATGGAGTCCCCTCGGCAGGTTGGATGGACGAGGACACAGCACTCGACGGAACTCTGTCCTCGTTCAGATGGGAAAGAGCCCTTTCTGGGGCCGGCCCTGACCTCTCTCCCTCCGCTCCCCCAGTTTATGGATCGCACTCGCTGCCACCAGGCACTGTGCTCACAGACAGCGTTCACTGCCGGCCTTCCCCGTGAGAACAGCCATGGCATGAGGGCGCAGGGCTACCTTCGAGCTCTTCGGTAAAGAGTCCCCAGCACCAGGAACAGTTGCTAATGAATAATTGGTGTGCAATAAGCATCTATCAATAAAAGTATGAATGAATGAAGATAGTGTAACCTGAGAAAATGTTTATGAAATGTACCTTTCAGTGAAGAAGGCAAATCGGAAAGTATGTACATCATGATGCTAATCACATATTGAGCAAAAATGTCCTGGATCCACCACGTCCTGCATTGTGCTAGACGATGGGGATAGAGAATTGAGTAAGACTTGAGTTTTTTATTTTCAAGGGCCCACAGTCTACAGTGAGAACACAGGACTGCAAGACCATGCTCAGACGCCCACAGAGAGCCGCACGCGGTGCTGCGGGAGCCGTGCGTCTGGAACGGCTCTCGGATCCCGAGGCTCCCTGGGCGCGGGGCGCCCTGCGCATCTCGGCACAGACTCCCTTTCAGGCAATCATCCCCACAGTCCACCGGGCACGTGTTAGCCTCCTGCTGTGTTAGAGATAGAGAAGCCGAGGCACAGAGGGGCAAAGGGACTCATCTCTTCAGGATCTCGCAGCCAGCGGGCGCAGGGGCGGAATCAGGAGCCAGGCGGTCTGCTCCAGAGCCCGCGTCGCGACCCCCTGGGCCTCCTGCTTCCGGGTCATGGGCGCAGAGGGCTGAAACGCAAGCATCAGATGAACCGCGGTTTGATGGGACAGAAAAGAAAAGAAATTACTGGAAGAATATGTGTTCCGAGTCTAGGAGGGAGGGTGCTGGGGAAAACATGGAGAGTGCACCTGAACTTTTCCGTACTTTTCAAATCCACATGACTATGTGCTTCTTTTACCATCATACATAGCTCTGCTAGTATAACCTGGAACTTAAGGTTTTCATTTCAATGGTAATTTTAAAGGAAGACGATGATCACTGAATTCCCTGTCCTACCAAGAGGAAACCTTCATCTTGTGCTGTAGTCAGCAAGCTCTTTCCTCACCTCACTGACTTTTACGATGCTCAGAAATGCCCCATCTCTGCTGACGTTCGCTCTGTTTTATTTTTGCAGTGCCCTGAACAGTTCAAAGTCCGTATTAAAATACAAGGGTTTTGCGACCTTTGTCCATGCAAGGCTAGCAAGAATTACCCAGTGCTCAGTTTCCTTATTAGCAAAGCCAAAAAACGCTATTTCAGCTTCCCTGGAAGCTGTTTCGGAAAGTTGTTTATTTAAAACAGTGGAAGAAACACATGCAGACGCTCGCTTTTTATACGGAAAACCTCAGCTCATTTCTTCTGCCTTTGCCTCTTTTTCCTACTTTTTCAAATGGAGTTGCATTCCGTACCAATGTCACCACTTCTCTTACAGCGCCCCTCCCCACCCCCGCGTCGGGGATATAAATACAACTTCCAAAGGCTTTTTTTTTTGGTCTTTTCTTTAAGTGTATGTTGGTAGATTTACCGGCTCCCATAACTGGAAGCCAAGTAGGCAAATCTAGCGTCAGGACTGGCTGAGCCCGGGGCCCAGAACCTATGTCGCTTACATCTTTCGGCTTAGTTTCACTTTCACAGACTAGTTTAAATGAATAAATGAGTGGGTGCGGGAATGAACGGGTGTTTGCTCTATGCCAGACCCTGGGAATAAAGAAATTGAAGGAAGGGGTAGTCCGTCGGGAAACTAAAACAGAAAGCACGGCTTTAGCTCGAGCGGAGCCCCGCACCGCCGTGAGGATGAACTTGGGAGATCAGGGCAAAGACGGGGGCCGGCAAGGAGCCAGGAACCACAGCGCTGGCACGGCTGGCGCTTACGTCCGGGGAAGGCCCGGTCGGTGACCCGCCGTGACTCAGGGGGCGGGTCCGGGGCTTCCGACCTCCCGGCTCGGGGCGGGGACGCGGGCGCGCTCCCAGCGCGCTCCAGGCTGCAGCGCGCACTCTGCCTCGGTGGCGGTGGCGGGAGAAGCGCTTCCGGGGGTGACTGAGGCTGCGCCGAGCGGGTCCTCCAAGTGGTGCCGGCGGCCTGAGCGGAGCGGTGAGTTGCGGGTGGCGGCGCGACCACCGTGGGTGGGAAAAGCACAGGGAGTCTGGGGGTGGGGGGAGGGGGACGCAGTCTGGGGCGGGGCGCGGGCTCGGGCAGGGGCGTGCGCCCGCGTGCCGGCTGCAGGGGCACCCCCGGCTGAGCGATTACAAGCCCCCTCGCCATGTCGGGGACCGCCCGGGCCAGAGGTCCCTGCATCTCGGGGACCCCTGCTATCGCCTCCCTGACAGCTCCCCACTCCAGCAGCCAGAGCTCCCCTTGAGCTCTCCCGATGGGAGCGGGCTCCCACACGCACGCCCTCACGCCCCCTGCCACGCTGTCTCTGGCGGTCGCGTGACGAAACTCGCGGGAAGGACACCCAAGATGGCTGCCGCGGGGACAGGCCACCGCGCGCGCGATTGCTCGGCGACCAGGTGGCACCGACCCCCACGCTCCTCGTGCTCCTAGTTCTTGGCTTCTCCTGGCGCAGAGCCGGGCTCTGGGGTCAGAGGAGACCGCGGGCCCCGGCCCTAGAACTTGCCATCCAGCAGGGAAGAGAGAGATGGGCAGCAGTCCGGCCCTGGACAGACCTTGCATTTCTCTGCTCTCCCTGATCTTTCCATCCTGTCTCAGGTCTGTAACCTTATCAGGGTGACAATACCAGCATTAGCTACTAAGTGTGTGCAGGTGATTTAGGTCCCTTTAATTGTGTAGTCTCCCATCCTCGTGAGTTACTTGCATTGCCTTCCTGATCCAGATGAGAAAACTGGGCTCAGTGAGGTGGAAGAACCTGCCCAAGGTCACCCAGCTGGCCATCTGAGTGCCAGCGCACACGTTCCTTCTTCAAAGATGTTCCTCCTTGGCTGAGCTGTCTAAAACGGCCCCCCTCGGGCACACGTCCTTGTTAGACGTCCCCCTGTGTTTTTCCTTGAACACCTGCGTCCGCAGTGGAAATGGAGTGGTTTCCTTGCTCCCTTTCTTCTCTGCTTGTGATCAGGGTGTGCTTGCCTTTGCTCCCCTAGCTGTCCTGTGCACCCAGCCCTGGCCTGCCCCGCAGACACCCCAGTGCACGTCCGTCGAGTGCCTGAATGGGAAAGCCAAGCTCTGCAGCGCTCGGCGTGGCTCCGCCACCCTGTGCGCAACTGCCCCTGAACCCACGGGGCATTCGATTGGTAATTTCCTGCAAAGACCTCATCTCTCGTCTGTCTACCTCACCTTCCAGATTTTGACGCGGGTGCCTAGAGTGCCTCTTCCTTTGTCCATCCCCAGCTCACTGAGTCCCCTCCGCGTTCCAGGCACTGTGATAGGTGAAAGGGAGCGTGCGGGTAAACACGGCGCTTTGGAGCCGTTATGGTGCTGGGCTCCCGGACGCAGAAGGTTTGCAAGAGGAGAGGGAGCGCTGTGGGGGGAAGAGTGGGGCCCACCAAGGAGTGCTGGGGCCTGACGCAGGTCTGTTCTCTCCTTGGGACTGCAGGGGTCTGGCTGGCAAGGTAGACCCCTGCAGTCCCGGGGAGCTGCCTTGCCAGCTAGACCCCTGCAGACCCCTACAGACCAAGGATTCCTTGATGGTGTGTGGCGAGAAGGGCCCACCAGCTCTGATGCGGGACTGCTCTAAGGATGCAGTGACGGGTAGAGGGAATGCGCAGGCTTTCGGCCCCGCGGGCACTGGTGGCGGCCGTAGTCAGAGGAGAGCGTGTTTAGCGGGGCTGGCTGTAATTCACAGGTAGTGAAATACTGAGAATGCTCTCAACGCCCTGTACGAGTTCTCCGAAACGCGCTGCAGGTGGGCATAGAAAGGTGCCATTGGGGAGTGACCCTCCCCGCCGCGCCCTCACTCCCTGCGAAGAAGCTGGGAGGACCGCCAGAGCAGCAGTGACTTCAGAGCAGGGCCACCTCCTCTGCTCTCTGGGGGCCCTGGAATGAACTCCTGCGCGGCCAGTGGTTAGACACGCGGAGTTGGAGTGTGGTCACGGGCAGAACCTTTCGCTTGAGGTGAAAGGCAAAAAAATTGTTACCAGTAAGTCATTCAAAAAAATACTGGCTGTGCAAATTAGCCTAGAAGGTGAAAAATTAAGTTAGACTATATCACGAATCTGCACTTAATTATAAGAAGTTCAAAGTTATTCAGTTTTTAGCTAGCTACTGTAAATTTGTAAAATGTTTTCATAGTCAGAGTATATCATCTGTGAGCTGATTCCTTGATGTGGCTAAAACACTCAGCTGCCTCTGTCCGAGAGGTGACAAGACAAGACGGGCGGTATTTTATCGTTTCAGCAGCCTGAGGCCACCACTCCCAGCAGAAACCAATAGAATTTCTTTTTAATGAATAAGAACTTCAGCCATCCTAAGATGTTGATTGAAAAACGCAAACCCAAAATTGATCTCGAGGACTGGAATGTGAACGGGGTGGTGTTGCTACCTGGGTATTGAAAGTTAGGGCGAGCGGGGTCTGCGGGGCGGGGCCGGAGGTGGGCTCCGGCGGGCGGGGCGGGGAGACGCGTGGAAGGCGGCCACTGTCCGCGTCTTCCTGACCCGGGCGGCACCCGCCTGTCCTTACAGGCCTGGCCCCGGAGTGGAGGAGAGTGCACCACGGGAAGCCACTGCTGAGGGGAAGTGCCCTCTGAAAGAATATAATTTTTTGCATAGGGTTCAACTTTCTGGTCTGTAGCTTGATCTCCTGTGTGGCCATGCCCATAAGAAAGGAACACTGTGGGGGTGGAGGGGTGACCCGCTCGAAGCCCAACAAACAAGGGAACTTGCTGACTCCTTGACTCGGCCTGGCCGTCTGGGCAGACGCCGCCACCTCCGGCCGCCCAAGGGTCAGGAGTGTGGTACGAAGTCAGACGGGGCAGCCGCTTCCCGGCTTTGCCATCTGGGGCCTGGCACTTGGTTTCTCTGAGTAGCTACAAAATAGGGGAGATTTCCTTAAAGGGCTGAAAGAAGGACTTAGCAACCCAATAACGTGCAGCAAGCCTGCGGCCTAGCCCATAAGGGGCGCCCAGTCCTGTCCCCCCCACAGTGACTGCGACAGTGCCCCACCCCTGCCTGGCCCTAACTAGGTAACCAGGCAACCAGACTCTTTCTTGCTCTTTCTTAGCTCTTTAAAACTGTATTTGTTTTAACCAACTTTTCGATTTAATGCCTTAATCGTCAGTGTTAATCTTTAGGGAGGGTTAAAGGTCTTTGTTACTAAGTCCCCGATGAAGCATAGTCTCTGCTAACTTATTTTCTGTGAAATTTTGGAAAATTCATGTTTCCCACAGTGAAGCAGTTTCCTGGCACGTGGCTAAAAGTTTGAAGTAAAGTTTACTGTAGGGAAAAGCTGTTTTGCTTAGATGTTTCTGGTTATTTTTTCGACATGTTCAGGCGGCAAAGCTTCATTCCATTCCTGCCCCCTCCGCCCCCATCCCCGCCCGCCGCCTCTGCGCATACGGGCTGGACTTCAGTCACTGTGGACAGCAGCCTCGCTCCTGGGGACCTGGCCTGTCGGCGACGGTCGCGCCCTTGCCTGCGATGCACAGCTGGTCAAGGTCCGTAAAGCCCTGCTGATCCGCCAACCCCAGGAGCCAGCGCTGACCTCTACCTTACAGAGGAGAACGCTGAGACTCGGAGATGTGGGGTGACTCACCCAGAGTCATGCTGGGCAGGAAGGGACAGGATCAGGACTCCAATCTGGAGTGTTGTGGCTAAAGTCCAGCTCTGATCCTGTGGGCTGTCAGGGCAGGCCCTCGGGGACTGGGCCACAGGGCAGGGGCCTCCTCGACAGGAGCCAGCCAGGAAGGACAGGCCCAGCAGCCCGCGGGAGTGACGCTTGGGCCACGTAAATATGTATACAGAGGGTAAGGCTCTTGCCCTGCGGGGAGGGCTTCTGGTTATTATTTACTTGTAATTTTTATATTCTTTCAAACATGGCGTTTCCCAAACCTAACTGATCGTAGGATACCAATGTTATGCTTCCTAAAATTCAGGTTCCTAGGCCCCACCGAGCTCTTGAATGAGGTTTCCAGGGAGACGCTTTTCTGGTCACAGCCGCCTCCCCGGGGAGCAGGGGTTCTGCAGCCGGACAAGTGAGGTTAGCACTTTGGCACAGACACTTACTAGGGCAGGTCAGCTAACCACCCTGGTAACCGAACTGTTAGGAGGGTTACATGAGAAAACAGAAGACAAGCTCTTCGAATAAGGGGACATTCAACACGAGTGGACACTGGTAGGCAGTAGCCTAACTTTGCTGATGAGGATACACAGACCTAGAGCCGTGGGATAGTGTCGCCAAGGTGACCGTTGGCGGCGGAGCTGGGGTTTGAACTCAGATACGTTGCCTCCCTGGCACAGCCCTTCCTTCCCTGGCCCCTCCATCCAAGGATTCCAAGTTAGAGGTCAGTGAGGGAGGTGCTGCTTGGAGCCAGGAACTCAAGTCCAGCAAAGCGGCTGGGGCAGCGGGCTCATTTACAAGCCAAACAGATCGCCGCTGACGAGCTGGAGCTGCTTGCTCACCAGCCCTGAAGGCTGATGCGTGGTGGGAGGCAGTCCTGGCCCTGGCAGAGGAGTCAGGGAGGCCCAGCGGTTTGACGGCTGTGTGACATCTAACCTGGAAGGAAGGCAGTCCTGCCTCCCAGAATGGTTCATGGAGGCTGGGATCCAATTTAAAAGTTCCTCGGAAAAAGGCCCAGCTCCATGGACAGCTCAACAGTTCACTGAAGCTCCCTATTTAAAGCGAGAGACTTTTACTCTTCCTTTCACTTGAATGAACGCTTAGAGGCCTTTGCAGGTTATCAATGACTCTAATTATACTATTGTGGTGCCTCAGGGACAGGGAGGCCTGAGGAGGAGAGGGAGAGACATGGGAATGGAGCGCACGCAACACTTATTCTAAATTCGCCATCCGTTGTGGGTGTGGTTCATGGTGCCCCAAAACAATTACGATAATAACATCAAAGATCAGTGATCACAGAGCACCATAACAAGTATAATAATAATGAGAAAGTTGGAACTGTCAAATGACACAGAGACTGAAATGAGCGAATGCTATTGGAAAACGGGGGCCCATCAACGTGCTGGGGGCACTGACCTTCAATTTGTTAAAAAAAAAAAACAACTCACTGTCTTCGAGGCACAATAAAAAGCACAATAAAACGAGTTATGCCTGTATTTCAATATCCAAGAGACCTCCTTTCACCAGGCCTTTCCCTCTAATGTCTCTGTTCTGGAATCTTCCAGCCTCTTTTGCTCCTCTACACCCCCATTCCATCACGTCTTCAGATCACGAAAACTGAACCTGTTGAAAATCAGAAATCTGCCTAGCTGATGCGTAAAGCATCACATTTTTGCTGTTGACCATCTGCAGTTACTAAACCAGCTCGTACCTAACTGGTCAAAAATTCCTCCCGCAGAGGCTCTCCACTTAGCCCCCTGAGGCCGTGCGGTCCCCCTCCTGCCTCTCTTCCGTGGCCCCTCTGAATGTCCCAGTGCTCCCGCATCCCTGCCAGAGCCCCAGGTGAACACGCGCAGAGGGTGGGCTCCCACGGGTGTCTCCTGGTTCCCTCGGTGGTACCCTTCGCTTGCTGTACTGGTATAAAGCTAATGGACGCGCTTGCATGGTCGTGGACACATTCTCCGGTGTCCTGTGCAGCCTGTCCCTGGTGGGTGTGGCATTGTTCTCTAAAAAGGGGTCTGACGTTCGACCAATTTTGACCTTTGTTGCGGGAAGGCAGGCAGCAGGTCGGGGACCACAGACCCGGGATGGGTGCTTCCGAGTAAACCAGCCTGCAGGGGAGCCAAATCCACTGGTCCCCCTCCCACTGTGCCGGGACTTCACGCCCTCCCAGGACAGTGGCTTAGCCCCGCCTACTGATAGAAATAAGGAAGATAAACCAGAATGCAGTAGCAGTTTGATGTTGACTATTTCACCCAGAAAAAGGCTTTCAAACCTGAGACCATGCTACTGTTGATACTGTTTTTTTTAAAACTTTTTCTATTTCTAGTTCCTCTAGAGTAGTTTTAGGTTTCCAAAAGTAAGGAATGGTATAATGCCATGGACTTATAAAAAGACATATTTGGGAAATTATTGAAATTTGGTTGAGATTTATGGACAAAGTTAACTATGGATTTAGATTGTCTTTCTGCCATTAATAGTAAAATAGTAAAATTATTTTTGGAAGTAGGAATATACATGCATATTTACTCAAAGATCAGTGAGACACGGAAGTCCCCGACCGTGTGCGGACAATCGTAAGGCTTAACGGGCCGTGTCTTTCTGCCCCTCCCTCACCCAGGACCATGTCAGGAGAACTGCCCCCGAACATTAACATCAAAGAGCCTCGATGGGATCAAAGCACTTTTGTGGGACGAGCCAGTCACTTCTTCACCGTAACGGATCCCAGGAATATCCTGCTAACCAACGAACAACTAGAGAACGCCAGAAAAATCGTGCACGACTACGGGTAACGTCGGTGGTTATGCTTTTGGCTGAATTTATTAATAGATCATCCTGTTAGCCTGTTGTCTTTTAACCTTCACTTAGCAAGTCTACAATTTTATTTTTTGTAATGGAATCCTTTTTACAAAAGAAGAGAAATCATAGGAAGGCATGTTTTATCCCTCATTGCTGACCCTTAGTACAGATGTCAGGGGTCACAGCACCCTGAAAGTAAGACAGCCCTTCTTCCCACTCATTGGGACCAATCTGCAAAGTCCCCTTGTCCCAGCACCCTGCCTCTTGTCTCCGGTACATCCTCCGCTTGCACCTACAGCCTCCCCAGGCACCTTTCTATGTGCAGGTGGAGGCAGCGTCATACCAAAGGCCAACCGCCAAGAGTTCGGGTGGGCTGGTCACTGTGGAGATGAAGCCCCAGTGAATAAACACTGTGGGAAGGAGGCTGGGGGCAGGGTGTGCGGGCTTGGGAGGCGCCCAAAAGCCGGACACGAGGGAAGGGGGAACGATCCGCCGAGGCAGTGGCCACAACTTTCTCCGTAAAAGACCACCTAAGAACCATTTCAGGCTTTGCGGACCACAGATGGTTCCTGTCACATATTCTTAGTGTTTTGGTTTGGGTTTCTTTTTTTTAATAATCCTTTAAAAAATGGAGACATGTAATACACATAAAAGAGGTTGTCTCCTAGGTAATGAGGCAGGAAACCAAGGGCAAGCCATGAACCGTGCTGCCGAACACCGCGTCTGAGAGGCCTCTGTAACGGGGGCGAGGGCCCTGGGCGCGGACAGAAAGCCGACTGTGGGGGGGGGGCCAGTTCTCTCCGGATTAATCCGGTTTCAGTCAAAGTACAACAGGGACCACTTACACAATTACCAAAATCATTCTAACAGTTATCTGGAAGAATAAATTGGTTTAACTGAGGCATTTCTGAGAAAGAAAAGCAGTGAGGGACCAGCGCTCTACCAAGTCTTGAAAGCAACTGTTGCATTAAAATGGCAGGTCCTGTCACTGCCAGATGCAGATGTAGGTAAGGGGAGCCCGGCAGAAAGTCCAGAAAGCAGGCTTAGCATCCACAAACTCTCAACTGACGACCAATGGAGCCTTTAAATCGGTACTGGAAGGGCAAGCCAGCCAACTGGCAAGTAAAGTTAAGCACGTTTCACATATTCATATCTTAAGATAAATTACAAATGGATTAAAAACTTAAGTGACCAAATAACCAAAAAGAAACTATTATGAAAATACAAGAAGTATAGTAAACACTCGTATAACCTTAAAAAGTGGGTCAGGCCCCTCTAGGCAGGAGCTGCGTTTGTTCCCACCTGACTACAGAAGGAAAATTGTCGGGATAGCAGATGACACAGGACACAGAATTACCCACCGTGTATGAGGGATACATTCAGGCCACCTAAACAATGCTGCTGCTGCTGCTGATGATGATGACGATGATGATGGCAAAAGCAGAGGGAGAGGACAGAAGCCATTTGAAGTTTCTGTATTTTACATTGCATTTGTCTCAGCAAATGCACTCATTTCTTTCTATATAATCTTGGAAGTGTGGATAGACTTATTTCTAAGGATATTCACTTCCTCATCCTTTACAAATGGAACAGATTAAAAGCAATTAAATGTCCAGCAGTAGGGGGCTGGTATAATATACTGTTTTATGATACACTTAAAAGGGCGATGTACTAGCTTCCTGTGGCCGATGATTGGCTCATCAGCCACTTAAACTTACTCTCTCACCGCTCCAGGGCCTGAAGGCTGGAACCGAGGCGTGGGCAGGGCCGCGGCCCCTCTGAGGGTCCAGAGGAGAATCCTTCCTTCTCCCTCCAGCTGTTGGTGGCTCTAGGGGTTCCCTGGCTTGTAGCTCCATCTCTAGATCTCCGCTTCTGTCGTCCCTGGCTTTCTTTGTGTGGCTGCACATCGCCATCTTATAAGGGCACCTTATCTTAACCAGTGACATCTGCAAAGACTTTGTTTCCAAATGAAGTCTTGTTCTGAGGTTCCAGGTGGATGTGATTTTGGGGGGCAGGGGGCGGTGTCACTAGTCAACCCAGTGTAGATGAGATAGGAGGATATCTAAAGATGTAGAGAGATGTTTACAGAATATCATTGAATTAAAAGGTGGTTATAAAGCGGCAGGTTTGGTACAATGCCTTCAAATAAACACATTGTGTATACAGATCTTAGAAAGGGCTAAAAGTGTATTCACCAAAACATTACCAGGGGTGCTGAATAGGTGAAGACGTGAACTATTTTAATGGCTCTACCGAATTTCGTATTTTCTAAATTGCAGCAATGAATACGTGTTGCTTTGATATGTAGAAAACATGAGCCTTTCTAATCTAGGTTTTCAAACTATTGATATAAAAATGAATTCATATTCTTGATTGCCACAGCTCTGTCAAATGGGTTAAAAATATTTTAGAGTTTACAAAGTTCAAAATATATTTATAAATATGTCATTTAAAACAAAGAATATTTCTGTTTACTACTTCCCTATTTTACAAGGTATGTTTTGGTTTTTCCAAATTATAGATAATTTGAGGTATATGGGTTGAAATGTTCATTTTAAGAGTTTATTGTCCTTTGTGTTATTAAAATATCACTGACTCTGGGTAATGGATTTGTCACTCGCTCCTGGCCCAGCTGTTTTAAGTCAATGTAACCCTGAAAGCCTTCTGGCTGCCGACCTCTACACCGCTGCTGAGGTACTTGAAACGAGCACTTGTCGTGTTATCTGTTGTTGTTTTCCCAGACAAGGAATTATTCCTCCAGGTCTTACAGAAAATGAACTGTGGAGAGCCAAGTACATCTATGATTCCGCTTTTCACCCCGACACTGGCGAAAAGATGGTTTTGATAGGACGAATGTCAGCTCAGGTGCCCATGAACATGACCATCACAGGCTGTATGATGACGTTTTATAGGTAAGATATGGAGAGGTAATGACAGTTCATTCTGTATTACAGAGGCTTAGAGTAGATTTTTGTATGTAAATAATGTAAATAATGATTTCATGATGAGTTCCATTCCGTATAGATGTAACTCTAGGGGTCTGTTGTACCTTTTCCCTCTGCTGAAGTTTTCTCTTTGTTGTTCAAAAGGAGGTTGAAATCTTCTCCCAAAAGCTTAGGCGCAAAGGAAATGAGATAGACAAGGAAAATAAAAAGGAGTGTCTATGCGAATTCCCTTTGTCCGTTCATGTGATACGGGTGGGGATGTGCGTGGACAGAGGTGGAGGCGCCGACGGAGACATTTAGGTTGCACATGCAGTTAGGAGGGATCGGGACTACTGAGCCTACCAATGGCTTCCTTTTCTCCCAACAAAAGGGACCTGGCGTTTACTGAGTGCCTGCTCTGTGTCAGGTTCTCCGCACACGTAAGACAAAGCATAAGTAAGGCAACTCCGTCCTCACCATGACCCTCTGAGCTCGGTGTCACCCGCATCTAACGAAGGAGGAAGCTGAGAAGCAGGGACGATAAAAATCTGCCAGCCACCGGGTCCTAAGCCTCCGACCCAGCATTCTCTCGCCTCCGGTCCCCTCCTCGCTGCTTGCCGGGGTTTGCATTTTCTGGCCTGCCCAGCGGCCAGCCGCAGGCGGTGGGGGCAATGTGACGGCTCGCTCTGTTTCAGGACCACACCGGCGGTGCTGTTCTGGCAGTGGGTCAACCAGTCCTTCAATGCCGTGGTCAATTACACCAACAGGAGTGGAGACGCGCCCCTCACTGTCAAGTAAGCCTACGACGTACCCGCCCGCTGCCCCCTTCCAATGTCCGTTTGATGGGGCGGCGATGCTGTCCTGTTTAAATGAGTAGATTGTGGAGCATTCTCTTCAGCAGTGGTCCTGTCTTGCCCTTTCTATCTAGATGACTTTGTCCGGACTGACTTCTCAGGCATTACTCGTGCTGTTAGTGGCACCGGTAGGAAGAGAAGTCATCCACCTGCTCGGCCTCATCTCCCCACAGAACACATGGCAGCAGCTCAGGGCGGGCCTGTCGTGAATGACACGCCACACCCCCATCTGCCCTGTGCATGTGGACAGACGCCAGCGTCAAAACTAACGGCGTCGACAGTGTGATTTCTGCACAGGTCAAGGGGGCTCTTATACCTGATTTGTCTTAAGTATCAGACATTGATGGAGCCAGAGTGAGTGGGTTTAAAATTTTGCCTCCCTGAAAAAAGTTTTTAGACAGGCCAAAATGGCCAGTTAACCAAAACTTTGAGCATCCCTTGTCTAACACATCAGTGTTTTGTTTTATCACTGAAAATTGCCTTTCGCAGTCTGTGTTCTTCCGCTGCGGTCGCAACAAAGAGCGTGGGGCTCAGCAGGGTTTGTTACAGCTGCCTTGCATCCAGTCCTTGAGCTGAAATGTATTTCTAAATAGGAGAGAATTGCTTGGGCTTCATTGTAGTTCGAGGACGAGACTCTGAGTTTTTATACACTAAGTTATCATTTTAAGAAGAACAGCATTGCATTTTAACTTTCGGTATGACGTGACTATTTTGAAAAGCGTGTTTTGAATGTAAACAGATGTGCCACGATCGCATAGGCCAGTGTGTACTTGCCCACATCAGTTGCTTCTCGCCCGCGCGCACCCCGTCCCTCCCCCGCCCTGCACTGCCCGCGCCATTCGTGTCTGCGTTCGGGGTCACGTGCAGTCCTGGGGGAAGGATCCCGCTGTTCCTGTGAGTCCGCGCGCCTTTGCTCTAGACTTCTCCCCTGTGCAGTGATGATGGAGCTGTTTCGTGGACGACCCATTCTTAATCATGCCCTTCCACATTTTCCCATCATTTCTTAAAGAAAATAAACACACAAAAATGGTTCCCGGACATACACCCATCGTGTGCGTGCTGTTCTTTTTCTTTTCAGTGAACTGGGGACGGCTTACGTGTCCGCAACAACTGGCGCTGTGGTGACGGCCCTAGGACTCAATGCATTGACCAAGGTGCTTGGGTTTTCCTCCCACGGGAAAGCTCCATAGTTGGTTCTCACCTGCCTGGCTCTGAGTCACTCTTATTTCTCAAAATAGTTCAAGTCCTGTGACTTTCTTATTGTCGTGCTTTTTGGGGGCGGAGGGGAAGAGAGGGAGAGAAACATCAGTGTATGGCTGCCTCTCGCGCGCCCCCTCCTGGGGACCTGGCCCGCAGCCCAGGTGTGTGTCCTGACTGGGAATCGAATTCACAACCCTTTGGTTCGCTCAATCTACTAAGCCACACCTGCTAGGGCAATCGTCATTGTCTCTGCATATTTTAATTATAACCTCCAATAAGCTGGGGGAAGGGTGTCACCCATAACCAAGACCTGGTCTGTGCCTGACACTGTGTCCAGTCCTAAGTTAAGCGCCTCACGCTCACCCACCACAGCAGCCCACCAGAGGTTGCATGTAGGCAGCGGGCCTCCGGCCACACCTCTCAAGAGGGGGACAAGACAGCACCTGGCCTCCAGACTTTGGGACCAAAGCTCTTCTCCATCAACCGCACTGAGCTGCCAAAATGCCTCAGAAGTCTCATATGCCCGGCTGGAGATAGAAAAATACCACTAGGAAATCGGCTATGAAAGTACTTCTTGGCCTGAGTTTCTACAGAAGTAGGACTCCGCATTTTTCGCGGTTCTCAGAAAGCAGTCAGTACGGCCATTCGGGAATCAGGGAACAGCTAGCTAATGCGTTTGGGATTCTCTCTTCGGCAGCACGTGTCGCCGCTCATAGGACGTTTCGTGCCCTTTGCCGCCGTAGCTGCTGCTAATTGCATCAATATCCCGCTCATGAGGCAAAGGTGAGTCGTGTGCACATCTACAGGGGACTCGCGCGCGACAGCAGCGATAGGATTTTTGTGAGAATTGCTTTGTTGAAACTTTGAAAAAATTATTTTAACATTTACAGATAAAATCACATGAGGTCGGGGATTTGCATCAAAATAAGCTGGAGTTGGGGGCGAGGGGGGGTCCACAGGTGAAGCGAGCCCCGCCGCCAAGTTGGCAGGCACCGCAGCCGCTGCGTGCGGGAGACCAGGACTAACTCTTTCTGGTTCGGTACAAGAAAATGTTTAAAAGACTGTATCACAACTTGGATTTAGTTGTGTCAGGTCTAGGCAAAGAAGATTTATACACAGGAAGTTTTTCCTCTAAAAATAGGACCTTTTTTCCACCCGGAGTTTTCATTCGGAGTTTAAAATAATATTAATCTACACCTTTGGAAGTATTTTTTTTAGAACTGGCAAAAACTAAAGGAGAGGAATGAGAAAAGCATTTTGGAGCGGCTAATGAGAGGGTGGGTAATGACAGGAGCTGTTGGGAAAGCCTCAGTAACTGTGGCCTTGTTCCTGATTTGTCACGAACACCCACAGTGTCACCTGCTGGTGACTCCTCCTGGGTCTCTGTCAGTTCATTTAGATCCTTCTCTTTTTTGGAAACTTGCACAAATGTGGACATGAGCAAAAAGATTACCCTTATTCTTAAGGTAGCATGGTCACCCTTTGAGTCCTATTTTTATTAAAATTGCTACCACCCTTTTTTTTTTTTTTACAAAGTTACTGTGTTATTTTACTTCTGTGCCTATTGTATGAGGATTAAACTTGTTCATGGTGTGTAATAAGAGACTTGCTCATGCCCAAAATGTCACTCGAGCGGGTGATCGGGTTAAGTGGGGGCTGGACCTCTCCAACGGCTCCATGAGGCACCTGTGGACACGTTGGCGTGCACTCTGCTCTCTAGGGAACTCAAGGTCGGCATTCCCGTCACCGACGAACACGGGACCCGCCTGGGTGAGTCGGCACACGCGGCGAAACAAGCCATCACGCAAGTGGTCGTCTCCAGGATCCTGATGGCAGCCCCGGGCATGGGTCAGTACAGCCGCCGCCCGCTCGCGCGTTCAGCAAACACGGGCTGCACGGCGTGGATGCCTCAGCGCGCCAAAGAAATCGCTCCCCTTGGCGGACGGGCTCATTTACCAATTTACAAACAAAACAAAACAAAACAAAAAACAGAAGCCGAGGCTCAGAGAAGTGAAGTAACCTTCCCGGGGTCGCCTGGCTAGCAAGTGGCCTGTCGGGCTCAAGGCAAGAGTCTTCTCTGCTCCACACGGCCGTCCCCACCCCCGCCCGCCAGGGGGAAGGCGTTTGTTTTATTAGTGCGGGAGGCAAATGTTCCTCATTTTGGTGCTGTTCATAAGTAAAGTTAAATGCAAAATTCTCAAGATTATAGAACTTTCAGGCTGGAAGAGAACATTACATTATTTTTCACAAATCTAAAGATTGAGAATAGCAGATTTTTTTTTTCCCTGATCCTAAAGTATTTTAAATAATTACTCTGTCAGTGTGAAAATAGCCCAACAGTGATAGAAGCCTTTTGTCAAATGGTTGGGGGAAAATGCAAGCTGGAAATAGACATGAAATAAGGACTTAAGTGGGTCTTTCCTTACTTCCAGCCATCCCCCCGTTCATCATGAACACCTTGGAGAAGAGAGCCTTTCTAAAGGTAAGCCCTGGTTCTCCTTGTCATTATCTCGGTCTTTTCCGTTCCTTTTCAGACTTCACACCACACAGAATGTTTCCTACGTAAATCACGAGGAAAGAATTTGAAGGCCAGTGGCTCTTGGGCACTTACATAAATAAAAAGATGTTTCCAGGAACATTTTATTTCTAGTCTCAGATATTGGAAAAAGCTCTCGAAAATGCAGGCAGCCGCCCACGCCTCTGGAGAGTCTCTGGTCCAGTGACACGCTTTACCTTAGCTGGGTGATACGGCTGAGAGGGTGTGAATCCGGCGTTCACGTGTTGCTGTCCACACTCTCGTAAATGAAAAAAGTACTTCGGGCGTAGCTTCATGGAACCGTGAATTTAAGGCCCCGGTTCATTTTTCTTTAGAGATCACATCTAATAATTCGCTCATCTATCAACTGCTTCCCCTCAAGGTCTGAAAACATTACAGGATGAAACTGTAACCAAGAAATCTCCAGTGCATCCTTTCTGCAGCTCCCACGTTTTAATGCAATAGCGTGTGCTTCGCCTCAGTTCTCCAGTTCTGGAAGCAAGTGGGGAGCTGTGGGACAGGGGAACCCCGTGGCTTCCCCTGTTTGGAAAGTGGCCCTGTCAGAGCTGCTGGGGGGAGTGGGCCGGGCTCCTCCCTGGAGGAGCCCCTGTGCTGGGGGAGTTGTCTGGGGTCTTAGAAACAGAACTGTGGTTACGACATCGCAGGGACATTGTACAGCACAGAAAAAAGGACATCGTTCATGGGCCTGCGCGGTTTCGGTGACTGGGAGAACGCGAAATGCCCACAGGCGTGCGCGCTGGCCTGCGCACTCCCACTGGGCCCCAGTCGGAAAACGAAGGCAAACGCTGGGGAACACTTCAGCCACGCTTTCAACACCATTACCTTCTTAGAAAAATAAGCAAAGAAATTATGCTAAGAAGAAACAGTAATGGTGAGCGCCTCATTTGACTGCTGGATCCAATCTTACATATAGATGTGAAATGCGCGATAGAGGCTCAAAGTGGCTCTCTAGTGTCCCTTTGCTCCTGGGAGAGCCCCCGGGAGAAATCCGCAGACCCCGGCCCCTGCCTCAGGACGCTGCACCCTCAAAGGCCTCGGATGTCCTGTGTAGGAAGCAGGATGAGCATGTAGGCTGGGACTCCGGAGAAGGCAGCAGGAGCAGGGATGGCGTCCAGGCTGAGTTTCATGGGCTAAGTCAGAATTTTCCAGGACGCTTGTCCTTGCCAAGAGCCTTTCCATCAAAACCGTCGCCTTCCGTCTGTACACGTCCTCCGAGGTCGGAGGCGGCTGTTGCCCGAGCTGCCGGGCCCGCCCAGGGTGTTGCAGACAAGGGTCCGCTGGAAACGAGCAGGCTGCTCTCGGGAGCTCGCGGAGGCCCCGGCTCATCCTTCTGCAACATCTCATTCTGTCCTTAGCCTGCCCTCCCATCACCGAGTCTGGGACCGACCTAGATGTCGCATGTCTGGGAAGTGCGAGCATGAGGATTTAGCATCTTCTTATGAAAATCCTTCATTGGATGGTGCCAGTTGCCCAAGATCCAGCATTTTCTTTTCTTGCTGTCCTTTGAGGGGTGGGCTCTGTGGGACTGTCTCCTCTTGACGACATCTCTCCCTTCCTCTCTAGCCCACGCCTCTCTCCCCTCACGTTAACCTGTGTGATGTCCTCTGTCACCGGAGGAGACTTCGGGGACCAGGGTACGCCTTGCACACGAGCTCACTGGGATCAGGATCTTCTAACAGCTTGTGTTGACACTTAACTAAGTTGGCTGATACACTGACAACCATTTCACCACCTGCTTGCAGCTGTTCGCGTGGCCTTAGTTATGCGACCCCATAGCTCGTCGCTCTTTACATTGCATATTTTGGTGCCACTCCTTTAGAAAACTAAAAATCTAACAGTCCTTATTCTCCAAAAGACCAACCAACCAATTCACTTCTGCTTTTAAAAAGCGACTGGCCAACACAGTATATGCCAGCCGTAGCTTGAACCATACTGATAGCAGCTAAAGCCAAGAAAGGAGGGGGACAGGGGATGAGGGGGCTGTTCGTGGGGCCTCTGCCGCACCCCAGGTGTGGTCCTCGGTGCTTTACGAATGTGACCTGGTGTTTCTTCACCCACATGCTCTTAGGAAGCTGTTGTGACCCTTGTTTTGCGGACAAGGACACCAAGGCTTGGCTCTGCCGGGCCTCTCCCCACAGATGGGAACAAACTGTTAGGGCGGACATTTGGGACCAGGCTGTACTGCCTCCCAGCCAGAAGATAAATGATAAGTAAACAATAGCAATTCCTTCCCAGCCTGTACCCAGCGAGGCACCACTCAGGTCATCCGTGCAGGGGAAACAGATGAGCGGCGCCCTGTTCTCCGCACGTGTGTGTGCCGGCAGGCCGGGGCGGGGGCTCAGGAAGTCAGCGCGGGCATGCTTGCGGCCGTGTCTCCCCAGACCGCACCAACCAGCCCCGCCCACGTCTCGTAATGTGGGGGGCCCCTTCCAGTTAACCGGCTGAAGAAGTGGTCTCTAAGAGCCTGTATACAAAGTATTAAAAATAATTTAATTTCTCAACACAGAGGTTCCCATGGATGAGTGCACCCATTCAAGTTGGATTGGTTGGCTTCTGGTGAGTAGAATTCCTTTGGTATCATGAATTTTGTTTTTTAAAGATAAATGTGCAGCATATGAAAGGGGAGAGGGGTAGGTAATATGGGGCCCGATTTTGAAAATGAGACCATCCCAGAACACCTGGACTTATGGTCCAAATAATTAGCTAGACGTAAGCTCTCTTTAGGAAAACCTACAATGTTTGGACTATTTGCACAATTTTTTAAACTCCTGTTATCTCTTTGGGGTTTTTTATTATTTTGGCAGTTCTTGGTATAATAAAATGATACAAACAGAATATATCTTTGTGAGGCAATGTAGGGCTCAAAAGAGGGAAAGGGAGTTGTTGGAAAAGTAAACTAGAAACTAAGAGCTCTGATTTTTCTTTTTTTTTTAAGTTTGGTATTTGCTACACCCCTGTGCTGTGCTCTCTTTCCTCAGAAAAGGTATGTATTTGTTATTCTTCGGAACCATATGAGTTTTAATCCAAGAAACCAGGTGAAGATGCAGGGGCTGTTATTGCAGTTCATTGGTGGCAAAGTCGAGGTTCAAGCCGATGAGGGAAGCCAAGGTCTCTAACAGGAACAGCTGGAGGCAGAAATCGAACGCACATCTGTTTAATTTCAAAACTCTCTTCACCCAGCTCCATCTACCTACTCCCGCTCTATTTGGAAATGCTTTTTCTTTCATAAGACTCAGGTTAACTCTGGTGCAAATTTGCTTTTATAAATCTTTAAATATGGTTCACTGTCCTCCAGTCGTTGGCGTGTGCACCTGAAATACAGATCTATTGGAACTTAAGTTCCACCCCCACGGACGGCAATGACACGTGCTTAGCTTCGGTGCTTGGTATATTTGCTTCCCTTCTTCCTATGTGGTTTTTTTGCCTTAAAAGCCTTATTGTGGATTTTCGTCCCAAGCTGCCCTTGTAGCCTTTTGATGTGACACCTGGATGCATGGGCCTTAAGTCAGCTTCTTATAAACCTAGGCCTTCAGCCGCCTCCTGCTCTCACTTCAAGGCACAGAGCAGCGGCTTTTTGTTGTTTTGATTTTGTGCACATGTTTCCAGGCTTCTGGCCTTGTGACGCCCTCCCAGGCCAGCGGGTCCGAAGCACAGCATAGCGTCTGTAGTGCTCCGGGCTTTCAGAGGAGGTTTTGGATGAGGCACTGTGTTCTAGAACGAACTTTATCGGGTCCCTCCACCTGAAAGAGAACGCCACCTTTCACCTGCGCATCCTCTTCTGTCTGTGACCCCGCCATTCTTAAGGAAGGAAATAAACCTGTGTACCGTCATGGTGTGGCTAGCTAAGACCCGCTCAGAGACAGCAGGGCCTTTCAGTCCCCACCTCTGCCCATGTAATAACTGTCCTTCCTCCCTTACCCCAGTTCCATGTCTGTGACAAGCTTGGAGGCTGAGCTGCAAGCCAAGATCCGAGAGACCCACCCTGAGTTACGACGCGTGTACTTCAACAAGGGACTGTGAACGGGGGAAAGGCACCTCTACCACAACCCCACCAACCTCAGACCTGGTGCAGCCTTAGTGAGGAAGTCTTGCTCCACCTCGGTTCTCCCAGCCACACAAACTTCTTGAAGACCCACATTTAGCCTTTAGAGTCAGGCTGGTACATACAGCATAGCACCTGGGGTGGGCCAGGCACCCCATACCTGTTGGCCCGCGGAATCATGGGATAATTGACAGAAATGGCCTTCCTGTAGCTTTTGTGGTAATTGTTTCCTCAAAGACAATATCCCAGCCCTCACCTAGAGTTTTAAAAAGTACTGCTATGGATAGAGTAGATGTTCAGTATATGCTCAAGAAATTGATTGTTAGTCAGTGAAAAGGAAGTCCGGGTAACAGTGAATTTTTACCGTACTTTTGTTTCAAATCAAGGCCATCTAGGTAGTGATTTGGGACAATACAAAAGCTCAGATGCTAAACAATAAAAAAATGACTCGTAAATATTAAGGGCAATTTTCCTCCAATTTGGGCAGTGAGCAAGCCAAAGCAGATGATGAGTTTTGGGGATTTGAAGGGTAAAAGCCCCTTCACACACCACCTGAAAGCCGTGGCAAGCTGCCCTGCTCTCGAGAATTGTGTGCTGTTGCTGCTGGTGGGTTTCTCTGGTTGACTTTTAAATGTATTCTGTTTTACATTCTTAGGAAAATATTATACTTGTTGAACTTGAAATCCAATTATTTACAACAAATAGTCAAAAAACCGAAGTGTACAAATGTCAAGTGTAGGAAGTATATCCAGTACCGGTGCTGTATGACTGGGTCGATTCTGGTTTGTCTGATAGTTTTTAGAAGTGACAGCACAGTTCCAGCCCCCGCACGTCTTTGTTTGCCGTCCTTCTAGATCTCTTTGGCTTTTGGAAATATATGGAAGTAATATGTACGTAAATCAGTGACTAAATGAATTTTACTTGAAGGTTGTGTATTGCATTCCACCCTATTTGAATATAAGGAATCCATGAACCACTGTTTACATCATCTGTAGTTGCTTTATATTTTTCATGTATCACAGATTATGTTCCAAGTCTGTTGTTGTTCAGAGGCATAGGCCAGGTGGGCCACTGCGTGTAGACTATTCAATTCCGTCATAATTCAGAGATATATAAGTGAAAACAAAAGTGGAAACTAGTCTGGGCAGGCTTTTCCCCAACCATGTGACCAGAGCGAATTTCCCCATAAAGAGCAAACGGCACCTTGTGTCTGTACCTCTTCTCTGAAAGGATGGATGGGTCTGAAGCCTCGGGCCACGCCCAGCCTTCCTTATGCCACTGAAATGCTCTCATTTTGAAGCAGGAGTAGTTCCCATGACACGCTCTGGCCTTGGATGCTTCTCTTTAAAAAGGGGTAAAAGCCTGAGACTCCAGGCACATCTCCATGAGGTACTGGAAGGGCGCTTTTCCCCAGAAACCAGAGCACCGCAGGCCCGCCCCTCTCGGCCCAGGGCATCGCAGAATCCTCACCCCGGTTCATCGGGAGCTCCATTCCAGGGCCCTCGCCTCGGCTGAAAAACGGATGGCTGGACAGAGGGCGCTGAACTAAAATTTGTATACACTGGGCAAGGTGTGGCCAAAGCGTTGTTATCAAAGGGATAACACACATGGAGCTGTGTGTTTTTAAACATGACTTACGGAAGTTTCTGGCTCTTGATGCTTTTACATGGAGATGTTTACTGTCTAGTTTAATCATGGTTTATAAAAAGGAACAAATGGACCGGGACTGGCAGTCTTTGCTGATCTCTCAGAAATACCCTTTCTGGAGAAAAGTTCACATGAAGTGCAATGAGCTCGTAAAGGTGCAGTCACTCGCAGCTCTGTTGACAGGAGGCAGAGGAGCGTGACTGTCCGTGCCCATGGGCCGGCAGTTTTCGCTTCAGTGTCGGCGCAGTGTCTTGCCAGTGTGGGAATCAATGCATTGTTTCAGTTCACCTGGATGAAGTGCTAAATAAACTCAGAGTGAAAATAAATTCTCTCGTTTATTTGTACAAGACATAAAGGACAATGCAGTTTTCACATTCCTGTTGATGGTACCTCCCATTGAAATGAACTGCCCGGGGTGCCATCCACATCTCGTCCTGGAGAGAGACTTTTGTGTTCCGCCGTTCGCAGCAAACACATTCCTAGTTGTAGCGAGCAGCCTTCCCACTCCTTGCACACCATGTGCACGGAGGGCCCCGCCCCACAGAGCGTGAATTACGGGCACAGAGGTGCGGTCTGCTTACACCCTGATGACCAACACCACACACGTGGCCGAGAGGAAACGTTGCTTTGATATCGTTTGTCAGAGTCTAATGTGGAACTATCATTTGCCATAGTTCACAGAGAACCTACATACCCCACGACTGGGGAGTGCTTTATTAACAGACTTAATAAAGCAATCATAATAAAGCATTTTGACCTCCTCGGCCATGTCTCTGCATGTTTTGCTACCATAACTCTGTTCGTCACTTAAGTTATTTAAAATATCCAAGAGCTTGGGTCTAGGTGTCAAAGCCAGTACAATCTTGGTTTCACTCACTCATTACATGCACTTGGGCTGCTGACCTGTCTTTGTGACCTTCGGTTTTGTTTTTTGGAGAAAACCATTGCATCAACCTCATAGAATTATTGTAAAGATTAAAACAAGGCAATCCCTGAACAGCTGTTTGCATACTGCCCAGCATATAGTAAACATCTAATAAATGGCTGCCCATCAAATATTTCTCTGTCCCACGGACACTGGGCATGATCCAAAATGCTGCTGGGTCAGTGTCGGGTACGATTTCAGAAGCCCAACCACTGCCCCCGCCCGAGATGACCCACAACCTCACTGGAAGGATCAGATGGCAGCAGTTAAATGAAGATGCTTGAATCCATCTTTTTCAATTTCCTAACAAGGCTTTGCCTGAATGACAGAGATTGGGAAAGCCTGCTCCTGGCGAGAAATCGGGAGCCGCCCGGACCTGCCCAAGGTCCCTGGAAAACCAGAGCGGGAGCCACGTTCCGACACCCAGACCAAAAACGTGGACACCCCTGTCCAAAAAGGCCGGCAACCAGAATGCTCTGAGGAAGGTAGTTTTTCCGTTGTGTATTCAGAATGTCACTGAAAGCTGAAGAAAAACACGGTCATATTTGGTGGTGCTGATTGATCTAAGGTATCACTTAAGTCCACAATATTCAAAGTGGGGTCCCAGGCCAGCGCATGCGCGCTTGTTAGAAACACACGTCCTTGGTCCGCACCCTGAGCACATCATACCTTGGGAAGTGCGGGCCACCCAGCTGCAACTAAGGTGCTCCCCAAGACCCGGGCTTCGCCAGGTCAGTTTCAGATCAATGCATAACTGTCTATGAATTTATATATTTACCCCTCACCAGATTCCAAGAAAGCACCCCAGTTCCCTACTGACATACTCAGGGTCACAGGAACAACAAGCTTGTGGGGTGGAGGCTTCGGTTTTGCCCACCACCCCGTCTCCAGCACCTCAAACAAGGGGCCACGTGGTCCTGGGTTCAACCTGGGCTCTTCCCAGGAATCCGAATGAGTGTTCTCAGGTTTCCAGTTTCCAGTTGGGGAAAACAGTCCATTTTGTATCATGGAAAGGTCATTGCCAGGATGTGGAGGGAACACGGGATATGAGATTTCTCTCTGGAAACAGAGCTGGAAATGAACACAATCCCCAGGAATCTCAGGGGAAACAGCTGTGGTTCCAGAGCCAGTCCTCCATGAGGCCTTTCCACGTCTAAGGACCAATCCCACAGATGAATACCCCCCAGCCCACAGAAGGCCTGGTCACTCCCACGGGAGCCCCACAGGGAAGGCAGAAGAAGGGGGAGGTTGGAGGAGGTTTCCAGAGAAACTGCCCGGCAGGAAAACAGCAAAAATGCACCGAACCGTGAGGTCCTTCTTTCAAGATAGATGGGTGAGAAGATGGACAAAGTACAGTTGATTTTTCACAAATAGAAGCTCAACTGAAAAAAAAAAAAGACTCTCTCTGGATGGTGGGTTTATAAGTAATTTTTAAATTTTCTCCTTTATGCTTTTCTGATTTTCTAGATTTCCTTCTGCTTCTCACCTCAGGACATATTACAGTAAGTACTACTTTTTAAAACCTCTGCAGACGATGATCTCATTTTTCAATAATAGATGCATCAATATATATAAAAGGTATATTAGCTGGATGTATACCAAAATGGTTAACAGTTGGTATCTCTGGGTTTACAAGTAACCTTTATTTTCTTTACAGTGTTGCTGGATTTTTCTGGAATGCACGGCATTCATTTAATAATTAGAAAAGCGTTAAATTCAGGCCATTAAGGAAAGTCACAGCTTTGCGAGCCTCCTGGGGCCCCTGTTAGACCTGCCGCCTGCACTGGTTTGGGAGCCGCAGGCCGGGGGAGAGCCACAGCGCAGACAGGCGCCGCCAGGGGGCAGCATTGCCCGCAAGATCGTGCTGCTGGGCAGGACACTTCTCACAGCTGACCGCAGGTGACTAAGGCCAACGTGACCTCTGGATTTCAGAGGCCAAGTCAGGAAGAGGGTACTGGAAGCTACGAGAAAGACATGATCTCTCCAGATGCAGCAAACTGGAAGGATGCCCTGGTTTGGCATCTGACCGGCAGAAACAGATTCATCCACTGGGACTCCTTGTACCAGGCCCCAGAGTCCCAGCGGGAGGGACAGGGTTGGAGCTCAGAACCAGGGGAGACCAGACCCAGTCCTACCCTCGGGGCCATCCGCACTGGGAGCCCTGCGCCCTGCTTTCGGGAGCGGCACCTGGGCCGACGCCTGGAAGATGAGTAGGAAATTACTCACTTCTGGAGAAAACGGGCGGGCAGGACACTAGGGCTTCTGGGTAGAGGGCACAGTCCACTCAACAGCCTGGAGACCAGAGAACGTGCGGCTGAAAGTTGTGTGCGAGGGAGGGAGCTTTCACGAAAAGATGCCACCAGGCTCTAGGCCAAGCGATGAGGCCCGTGAGGGCCCAAAAAGGAGCATCATCTGCCTCTGGAAGCTGGGTTCATTCTCAAGGGCTTCGTGCAGGGGAGAAACGGCAGCCCAGTCTAGCTCTGCCGCTCACTGTTTCCCTGACATGGGACAAGCCAGCTGCCCTCTCTGAGCCTCAGTCTTCTCATCTGTAAAATGGAGACAGTAAAACCCACCTTACGGTCTTGCTGTGAAGATTCAAAAGGGTAAACTGTGTGCTCTACGTCATGACTTGCCTTCCTTGTCCTTTCATTCCTCTGCAGTGACATGCAAAGGGAAAACAGACCAGCAGGCCATGTCCAGTGTGGCCGAGGCCTGGGCTGGGTGTCCATCAGTTCGTCCAGGCTCATTTCTGGGGCGCGGGGTGTTGGCTCATCCTGTGTAATTGCAATCAAGGCCAGGTTCAGCCCTCTTATCCCCACTGAGAATGAAAATGTGTTTTAATCATGTGCAATCTCCAGGAAAGACAGTGGCATGAGAGAACAATTTTTTAAACAAAGCTAAAAATAGAGACAAAAACGTCAGCTCCGTTGAAAGAGGAAAGGATGCAACCTTGTGATACAAACTCTGAATGATAATTTCCGTGCAGAGTGTTTGGGGGGGGGGTGGCAAGGCAGAGCACAGGGACCCGGCGTGGGCGGCTGTCCTGCTGGGTCACAGGGCAGGGGACGACCAGGCAGGGGCACAGGAAGGGAGCAGAACCTTTTCCCCCAACCAGGGGGCGAGTCACAGCGCTGAGTCTAGCAATGACCGTCCCACGAGGAGGAAGGGGGTGCTGCCACCCAGAGAGAAGCGGGGACTCCCAGCTCCGGTGAGGCAAAGTCTAGGCGATGGGGGAACAGTAAGGGCACCCTGAGCGGCCGAGTAGGCCCTTATGGTAAAATGTGGAGGGAACAAAAAAGAAAAAGAAACTAATTAATTTAAACCAGTAAAGCACTGGGGGGAGGAGCGGGAGGCGGCGGGTGGAAAGCCGCCTGGACGATGTGGAGAGCAGAGCTCCGAGGGGGTGCAGAGAGGCAGCCACGGGAGACGCCTGCCTTGGGAGGGAGCTGAGCGTTCCGGGCACCCCGCTGTTGCCTAGGGCAGGGCTCCTCACGCCCCGTTTCTCTCCACAGCCGCCCGAGCAGCGTTCCACAATTCCTACCGCTCGGGCCCCCTCCAAACCAACTGCACCCCAATAACCCGAGGTAGCCTGGAAATTGGCATTTTGAGCCGCCCAGGCCAAACCGAGACGCAGCCAGGGTTGGGAACTGCTGACCCAGAGACAGAGGAGGACTGTGAAGTAACGTGACGCCTTTGGGGTGCCGGGTGGGGTTAATGCGCTGCCGCGGTATGACTGGTGGCCCTGAGCGGAGACTGTGTGTGCGCCACCTCATTTAAGTCCACGCCACTGGGAGCCCCCACGGACAGACTGGCGGCTAAGGCTTACCGAGAAGTCATTTTGCTCCATCACCTCGTTTAATCTCACGACACCTGTGAGACCGCTACTCTGTTATCCCCACTTCACAGATGCCACTGTGGCATTTGAGGAACTTGCCCGAGATCAGAAGCTCACCCACGGCAGAGACAGAGCGGAGCCCGGGCACCTGGCCGGGGCGCCTCCTGGCCAGTACGCCAGCCGCCCCCTTGTCCTGCAGGACCCTCCCCTCGGCCTGCCTTTCACCTGAGGGAAGGACCGAGCCAGCCTCTGGCCCAAGGGACCCACGACCAGGGCTGCATTCGGAGGAACCTGGGAGGAGGAGCCTGGACGGACGCCACATGCGAACCGCAGATGCTCCCGGAGCAGACCCCTTCGTTCTGGGGGACGCGGTGGAGTTTGCGACGTGAGAGAGGCCACTTCTGGAGCCCTGTGGTGCGCAGGGTTCTGGGCACACACCCGCGTCTTGCATTCATTCCTGGCCCCGCTGTGCACGCCCCCTCCGCTCTCCGCCTGCTTTCATGCCTCCCCTCTCTGACCCAAAAGGTTCTTCATTTTGATTGCAAGCATAATGCCTGCTCATAAGA